TGTGTAGCGATGAAACCATATTTTTAAAGAAGTTAATTTATAAATGAACGTAGAGAATGAAGCAAATATATATATATATATATATATATATATATATATTTTTGTTCGTCATATTTAACAAAAGCTATTTAATATATATATATATATATATATATATATATATATATATATATATATATATATATATATATAGCTTTTGTTAAATATGACGAACAAAAATTTTTATTAATTTATATTTACTTTTTACAGCGTTCTTTCATTTTTTACAAAGCTATCCACTCTCACTCCAGTCAAACGGTAAAAATATAAATAAATATAAATAAAATTTTCCTTGTCCATCATATTTAATGAAAGGTGTTTAAAAGAAAGTTTGCTGTCCAAATATACATGTATATATATATATATATATATATATATATATATATATATATATATATATATTAATCATATATATATATTAATCATATATATATATATATATATATATATATATATATATATATATATATATATATTATATTACGAAGAAATTCAGCACAATTTTGACATAAAATGCTACTCAAATTAAAACAGAAAATAATTCACTAAGACGAAAATGTTTAGACATTGCTTTAATCACTAGTTCAGCCACAGTAAATTTTCATCCAGTTTCATACAACGTTTTACCATTCTTGGCATAACTTCTGTTATCACAATGTGAGATATTTAATAACAAAGATGATATAAAGAAAAAGAATATAAATGAATTTGGCTCGATTATTATTTTAAAAATTTGGAAACTACCAGCATCACTCGTTCACGTGTATGTGTAGTCATAAGAACGTTAGCAATACCAGTCCGATGAAGTCCTAACAGATTAAACGCGTCACAAGTGAACTTTGTCTTACAATTTCCTCAACACTGTTCTTGATATATAAAAGTATATATGATTATCTTATATATATATATATATATATATATATATATATATATATAAACCAAAAACTATATATCCATTTACTGTAGTGAAAAAGTACAGATGTATTTAAAATAAACTCCGCCCGTTACGGTATATATGTATATGGATGCAATATATATGTATATGGACGGAAGCAATATATATATATATATATATATATATATATATATATATATATACTTCTATCTGTGAACGCGCGCACACATATACACACACAAACGTGCGTGTGATTATTTTGCCTCCATGTATTGAAATGAGACACTTTGTTCGTATTACTTCGAACTTGAAGCAGTTCTCGCTCGGAAACTCGTTGATCGGTACACGAGTCTAATCAGAAAGCGTTAAGTTCTTAAGCCAATGACATTTTTTCTGAAATCCTAATGAGTCGAGAGATAAAGTTGCGTAAAGAAGAAGAAGAAGAAGAAGAAGAAGAAGAAGAAGAAGAAGAAGAGATAGGGTGACATTGACAAATGGAAGAAAGAGAAAAGAAAGAAAGAGAGGTATAAACGAACGTAGAGAATGAGTGTTAGAATAAGAGCTACAAAGAAGGAAAAAAATAAAGAATGAATTTATGTTGCTTCTATAACTTAAATAGAGAAAAACAGAGAGGGTGAAAGAGAGAAAAAGAAGGGAGAAAGATAGAAAGAGGGAGGAGACAAAAACGATGAGCAAAGAGATGCAGGAAATACAGAAAGAGTGAAGGAGAAATAGAAAATAAAGGAAAAATTGAAAAAGAGAGAATTTGCAAGCAAGAGAAAGAAAGATTGGAAAAGAGAGACCGCGTGAGAAAGGTGAAAAGAAAGAAAGAGAATGAATAAGAGAGAGAGAAAAAGAAAAGATGAGAAGGACAATAAGGGAAAGAGATAGAGAAAGGGATCGAAAGAGAGAGAGATTTAGAAAAAAGTGGGAATGAAAAGAGAGAGAAATAGATAGAGAAAGACGAAAATGACAGAGACAACGAGAGAGAAAAAGACATTGTGGTAAAGAAAAGAAAGAAAGAAAGAAAGAAAGAAAGAAAGAAAGAAAGAAAGAAAGGGAGAAAAATAGAGAAAGACAGCGATATGTATAGAAAAGTGTGCGGGAAAAAAGGGTGTGAGGAAATGAGAGAGAGAGGGTTAGAAAGAGTGAGAAAAGAGAGAAATTGAGCGAGAGAGATAGAAAGTAGATAATAAAAGCGAGAAACGGGAAGCAAAAAAATGGGAGAGTGGAAATGAGAAAGTGGTAGGAAAGAGAGAGAAAATGAAAAAATGCCGAGAAAAGAGAAAAGCGAGTGAGAGAGAGAGAGGAAGAGTGAAAATGAGAGAGTGTTGCAAAAGGGAGAAAGACAAAATTAGAGCGAGTAAAGAGAAGAGAGAGAAAGAGAGAGAAGAGTGAAAATATAAAAGTGCTAGGAAAGAGAGAGAGAGAGAAAGGGAAAAGCCGGACGAGGAAGCAGAGAAAAACAGAATTCTTGTTTAAAGAATGGATTGTTTGCAGACAATCAGATTGCCTAATGCATAAGAAATTAATGTAGAAAACGAATTTCAACATGTCATCCCCCATTTTGTTATTTCGCATATAAAAATAACAAAAACCAAAATAACTCTCGTTTTTATGAGACGAGAATCAGCTTCTGATGACAGTATCAAAATAAAACGAAGCCATTATTGACAACAAATGGCGGCCATAAGATGTTTGCGTTGAGAAGTGATTTTTTAAACAAGAACTGGGGGAAATCATTTATATATATGTGGAATGTTTTTAAATGTTTGAGTCAGAATATGAGCCGCTTCGTCGTTTGTTTGTTTTATTGTGTTTTTTGTTTGTTTTATTGTGTTTTTTTTTTTAAAAAAAAAAAGAACATTTCACTCAAGGCAAGGCAATAACGTCACTTAGACGTAAGGGGGAATTGACCGTGAAAGAATATGAAAAAAAAAAAAGAAGGAAAACTTAATTAAGGATAGCGAACAAAGAACAGGAATTAAGAAGACAAAAGATAACGATTGACATTGCATTTTTTGAAGATCAAAATTGACTGGAAAGCAAGATATTTGGCAAATATTTGAAAATTGAAAGGTAAATGATACATTAGTATTAGGTTGGTGCAAAAATAATGACGTAATAATGTCGTTTTTGACGTATTTTTTAACCTCAAAAAACGACATTCTTACGTCATTATTTTTGCACCAACTTAACAGATATGTCTCGCAAATATAAATAACTTTACAGTTAGCGCATTCATATTCATGTACGACACGTGCTACAGAATCAATCGACATTTTGAATCCAATCCTTCCACAAAAAAAAACAAAAAAAAAAAACACTTTCTGACATGAGAAAAAATTATCATCTGCATATCTTGTGCTGTTAAGATAATGAAAACCTGACCGAACTTCTAATTCTCTCAGAATCATCTCATTGTATAGGTTAAATAATCCGGTGAGAAGTCATAGCCTTGTCTTACACCCTTTTCTATTTTTCTACATTTACTGAATTTAATTTTCTATCTGTAAGCAAGCGGTTTGTTGCTAGGATATGTTCTAGATTATTCTAATATCCTTCTAAAATATGTCAAGGTTATATATTGGTTCCAATAGTTTTTGTGCGTTTAGTGAGATCAAAAATGTTTTTTCTTTATGTTTCTTTCTCAAACATCTTGAGAGGTTTAAATTTCTAAGATGGAACTTTATCATTATTTATTATTTAAATTATTTTTATCTTGCGTAGTGACCGCAAAACAAAGGCGAGTTCGTTTCGTTTCGTTTTTTTTTTTTTTTGTTTTTTTTAGATTAAGAAAGATAATAAAATAATTCGGATAAAAACATAAAAATATTGATTAGCAATCGACTAAAAAAAAAGAAACGGCGAAAGAAAAGTCTTGATTGCTATGAGAATTTTCTCGACAAAATAGCATTAGAATCATTTGTAAACACAAAACACTAAAGCGTTTTTGTTTTTTGTTTTTTTGTTTTTTGAAGCAACAAAATCAATTGCAAAATTGTTACGTGTTCACTCATGTCACATGACTATAGTTTCGGTGCATGATGAGATTTCACGAGGACCAACCGTAATCTGTGTGTTGGGAGGGTGGGCAGCGTATTGATGGACTGAAATTACTAATACAGAAAAGAAATAATCATAACGATATAAAGAACGAAAGCGAGAAAGGGAAAAGCTAGTAGAAAGAAATAGAAGAAAGATCGTATCTAAGACAAATGAAGAACAAGGAATTTCTGAATCTCTGAAAGATCTTCACATCCCCAATACATAGATCGTACCTTCAGCTGTCGCTCTTGCTGACAATCAGACAATTAGCCTTTTTTTGGTTCTTTCCTTTACTCTCTAAATCTAAGAGTTTTAGAAAATTCCTTTCTGGTTCTGCCATCAACACAGTGTCACCTGAATATTTTGTGTTGTCAAGATTATGTCCGAAGATATTAAATTCTGGTGGGCTTACTCTTAGGATCGTCTCACTGAATAGGTGAAATGCATGAGGTAAGAATAAATTAAGTAATGCAATTGAAGAAAGCAGTGCCATAGTACAAATCTCTAAGTACCATTATTCAATAGATAAGTGTCATTATTGAAGATAAATACTATTATTCAATAAATAAGTACCATTATGCAAGGCATAAATACTATTATTCTATCAATTAGTACCATTATACGATAAATAAATACCATTATTCAATAGATAAATACCGTTATGCAAAATATAAATAACATTATTGAGTTATGCAATTATGCGATAGTTAAATACTATTATTAAATGGATAAATGCAATTATGCAAAATATAAATAACATTATTGTTATGTAATAATGATATAGGCAAATATTATTACAAAATGGATAAATACCATTATACAAAATATAAATAACTTTATTCAGTTATGCAATTATGCCATAAGTAAATACTATTATTAAATGGATAAATACAATTATGCAAAATATAAATAACATTATTTAGATGTTTTTTTTTATGCAGAATATTTGTCAGTGAGTCAGGGAGATTTTTGTGCAACAAGGTAAACGAACATTGTTATCATTTATGTTATCATAAGTTCAAATAGAAAAAAAAAGTGCATTAAAAAACCCAACAAAAACAAACGTAAAGATGAAAATAAACTTTGCCGCAGACACCGTACATGACGTGTATGATAGAATTTGGAAGATAGACACCAAAGAGAAGGAAAAAGTCTGTGAGATGTAAAACCCCGTCTCTTATTTTGGATAATCAGCAATTGTTATCTTAAATTCGAATGTAAGTACACCATTAAAAAAATAAATGAAACCTAAATATGAAAATAAATTTCGTTATGTATACCGGATATGACGTGTATGATAGACACTGCGCATGCTTACTCAGAACAAAATAAAAACTAATTATGGACACCTGAGGAAAGCCAGCAAGTAAAAGCTCAACGCTGTGAATAAACAAGCTAACAAAGATGAAGAAATTAACTCGAATCAACCAGAAACAATGATTGAAGCACGTTGTCTAACAAAATACAGATAAGAGATTTTGCCACAGCTGTGGTATCTGCTGAACGTTGCGTTTGTTTTGCAGGTCTTCTCATTACAGGAAATGTTTCGCCTTTTTACACTGGATAACATTTTCGACTTTACATTTATTTGCTGACAAAGAGAAAAGTGCACGATTAAAATAAATTAAAAAAAAAAAAAACGATAAGCCTGGATTGCCACACATTGCGGTTCAACAGATGGAATGTTTATCTTTTTAAGATTCAACTCTGACTATTTACAAAAACAGTCACTTTGAAATTTGTTTGCAAGCAAATCAAGTTCAATTTTATAAACAAAAGAGCCAAATTAAAAATGATAGTGTTTTTATATTCTTTTCTATAAATACGATAATTTCTATTTGTACAATGTTCTTTGAGCAGACGTCTTTTAATAACTCTAACTTTAAAAAAAAATCGTTCTGATTATCATTTCTTCTCAGATAAATGGCGACAACCATCAAGATAACTGAAAAGGCCCGCGCTGTATTTGTTACCTTAAAGGCAGGATTACAGATTGCTCGCTTCCTGCAAGTCATACGATCGTTTGTTGTCAAAGTTTGCAAAGAACTGGAAGCCGCTGACGGGGATTCTACAGCAATAGACAGACGTAAAAAGTCTGCTAAGGGTCATAATACTTATCAGGCATGCAATTGTTTTCGAAATATTTAGATTTCAGCATTAAATAACCCATAGATGTGTCGATATGCCGCTAAACGAAATCAACCAAAGAATGAAAGAACTCTTTCATGACAATAATCCATATAATATTCTACAATTTCTTAAGTCAAACTGTATTCCAAAATATAATTTCAGCAAAACTACAATATAAAACACACTTATCACTGCCTCTAGTAGTTATGTCCACACAAACATGTATATATGCCTAAAAGCTGAGTACCATCTACCATGTATTCAACTGTGAAAGCAGAATAACATGTATCATATTTTTATTAAATTAAATTTTAGCATTAAATGACCCATGAGGAGTTGATATGTCATTAAACAAACAAAGCGAAAACAGACATAACCATTTTGCTATTGATTTATTAATGTCCTTAGTGTTAGGTACCTATTCTACTGTAATGGACTCTCCCATAGATAATAAGTAGGAGTAGCAGTGGCAAGTCTGGCAGAATGGTGTTGAGCGCGTCAGTCGAGATTCGGACATTTGAAGTACCAACCATCACAACTAGATTTGCTGCGCCATTGACTCTTATTTTCCAAGTTCCTAACGTTTTGTACGTCGGACCTAATTTAGGACGACTTATTAGAAATAGAAGCCTCCACTGTGAAAATACTCCACAACACTTAGTTACGGGGGGGGGCTGAACTAACATTAACAAGTACTAGAATGTTAATGAGTTTTCTATACGGCTTATAATCTCCATTTGTCAGAATGTAATTAATATCAAGTAAGTCAAATTATCTCAAATTAGCCATTACTTATAAACATATATGTATTTTCTAAAGAGATAATTGATTTTAGTTTTTCATCCGACATATTTACATTACTTCAAACATTATTTTTAGTGGACATCCGCTTTTGAGTAGAATGTTTGTTAGCGTCATTTAGACAATTTGACCATCAAACGCTCTGTATGTATGTAAAATCAGATAAAGCATTTTTACTATTATTATCTGCCTTGTAATTAATCAAGCGAAGCTGCTGTGGCCGCGTTGGTTAAGTCGACACTCAAGAACTTCCGTGGCTATCTATTCTGCTTTTTGCGTTAGCAGTCAAGAGATTTACACTGTGTTTAAACTGCGTGATACAAAGCAAGAAATGTTAGGAGTAAAACTAGCAATAAAACAAAAAATAATATATATATATATATATATATATATATATATATATATATATATATATAATGGACTCTTCCGTCGGTTTCGACGTATGAGGATCTGACAACTTAACCAGTTGATTCAGTCATGTAATTTTGTGGCACTTAAGACCCGCTAGTCATTTACAAAGGAGGCCGCATATGGAGCAGGAGTGAGGATTGCGGGATGAGATCACTGTTAGATTGGCTGACCTTTTA